TTTTATTTATTCATTATCAACCAAAAGGGTATTTTCTTTTACTACTTCTTTTGCAAACCAAGCATGTATCTCTGCTGCTTGCTTTCTTTATGGACAATAGAAACTACACTTCAAAGGTGGGCATACTCCAACCTTTTGGGTTATGGAAACATAGGTTTTAGCAAAGCATGTTCCATGTTGGAACAGGCATCCCCATCTTCCCAGGTGCCCAGCCCTAGAAATACTAGGGGGACCCTCGTGGTCATGGCTGCAGGTCACATCTCAGTGAGAGGGGTGGATTAGTGAGAGAGGAGTGGTGATTACGCTTGGATTAGTGAGTTGGGTTTTGTGACCTGGGGCATCGTAAACCCATGCTTGCCAGCCACATCTGGGTCCCTCCCAATTTTCCAGCAAGAAACGTATAAGACCCATGCAGGAGGGGTTCAAAAACCTCAGGATTAGGGGGCCACCTTTAGCATTTCTTCTCAGTTCCTTTTTGTGGTAAATTTGTCTTTTGCGTGTTTGCAGTGGCTTAAAAACCCAACAAAGGGGCCCCTCAAAAGCAGCCCACCATTACTTTGTGGCCCCTAATCCCTCTAAAATGGCTGGAAAGCTTGCTGCCACTTGAGTAAAATGAAGGAGATGCTTGTACCCTGTTCCTTGCAATGCAAATCTTTCAGTCTGCCAAAAAGTTTAAAAAAAAAATGTAAACTTTTGCTGAATCCAGGGAATGGATAGATGAATGGACGAAGAAGTAGGCAGCTCAGCCAAAGGGTGCACTACAGGGATCGGCCGGTTTCTGATGAGAGCATCTCTGTGCTGTCTGTCTGTTTGTTTCGACTGCACCAGGTTGTGTTCAGGTCCTGGTTTAGCCCTTCCCCCCCCCCCCCCTCATGTCCTACGTGGACTGCTGATGTGGTTTCTTTTACCGCTTGACATGTAGACTTCGACCAGGTTTAACAGAAGAAGAAGCAGAAGATAACAAAAAAAAAAAAAAAAAAAAAAAAAAACTGGCCACGCGCTTTGTCCCCACAGCTTCTTCCAGCCGTGGCGTGGCACCTTTGGTGGATTGTTGGTTTAGTAGTACCACTACCAAGGGGAGGTGATTGCACGACATGATGATGACAAAACAAACGCCGATCGCTGTGGCTCTGCTTCTGCTTCTGCCGCTGGCCAGCCAGCCGCCCAGGCCATGAGTGGCCGCCCTGCCAAGCTGAGAAGCAGGCAGTCAGGTAGTCTGGCAGGAAGAAGGGCAGTCAGACGGGAAGGAAGGAAGGAAGGAAGGAAGGAATGGGAAGGAAGTAGGCGCCACTGCAAGCTCCGATCGCACCCATTTGGAAAGCCTTCAGTGCAGTCGCCCTCAAAGCCTGCAGGCTTCTAGCAAGGCAAGACCACGGCGGGCTGCACGTGATTGCAGGTTCCAGGTGGGTAGTCTCCCCCTGAGAATTGCGAGCTTGGCTTAGCATTTGGGTGCATCTGCTGGTCCCTAATAGAATGAAGGACCATGCGGCAAACTGTCGAAAGAACAGCACTGGTGACTCCTCATGCCGTTGAGCTCGGTCTTCGGCTCGATGGTGAGCAACTGGATAGATCGAGAGACAGAAACAGTGATAGCGAGGCAGTCATTGAAGAATGTGCCGGAGGAAGCAAATGGCTCCCGCAATGTGCAAAATGCATACACTGAGTTAGCAAATGAACGTTGTTGTGTTTGTGGAGGTATTTGTATGAATCTACTCTCATGTTCTCATGGAGATGCATGTATAAGTTGAAACATCAACATCGGTTTAGTGAGCACTTACCGGATTGATGGTTTAGTGTTGAATGTGTTATGGGAATGATTTTGACATTGAATTTTGTTCATTGCAATTATTATTGTTTTTTTATCTCTTTCAAACACAACCTCTGATAATGAACATATTGTGTTTAAATTCATAACGTTATGTGCAATGCTGTGTAATGGAATACTCTTGCAGTAAGACACAGAAGTTTCAAAATATCACAAAAAACGTTGATTGGTTTCAGAAAGTAAAATTAAAAACAACTATGAACATGTATACAACTTTGTTATTATAATGATAAACAGTAATAATGAAAAAGTAATTATACTGTACTATATATGTTGTTAAGTTTTACCAATTAAGCACATCAACTTATTGTTTTGCACATATATTGCATAGATGGTTTATGAATTTGTAAAAATAAGACATTTGGATCATGTCTTTTTAAGAACTTTGTTTCTTAAACTTTCAACACATTTACTATTTGACTCATATCACGAGAATTAATCAAGGATGGATATGTCAAATAATTATGACTAATTACATTCATTATTGTCATGTAATTATGTAGAGAGAAAAAAGAACATGAAGATTTTTTTAGTATATATTTTAATATTTCATTTTAAGATTTTTATATCATTTAATTTTGTGACCATGAATGCTGAAAGATAAAAAAAAAATAGTATATATTTTTTAAATTATAACGTAAAAAATCTAGCTGTAATTTATATATTTAATATGTAATTTAAATTTTAAATCTATTAAAAAAATAAAAAAATAAAAAAGATAGAAAAGCTCATGTATAAAAAGTAATCACATGGAGTAAAAGTTTATAAATTTCAGTACTTCATGCAAGTACACATTTCTAAAATCAACCTCAAGCACGGTGCTATACGTTGTATATCAAATTTCACCATTCTCAACTACCAAATTCCACCAATCATGTACCAACAAATCAAGAGATATTAACCATCAACACTTCAAAATTCTAGATCCACTGTATTTAGTCAGGTGGCTTTAACATGAATCATTTATCATGATATTAAAATATGTATACCTGGGGTGTCGTAGCAATGAAACAAAATGAATGAACAGTCACCCCACGCTGAAGCTGATACAGCTGAATGGGTTCTCTACTACGGCTGGTAAGAGTAGGAATTCTGTAATAAGGAAAAGTGAGTAACTGAAGGAGCGAATTGAAACACAGAGTCGAAGAAAATTATGCTAACTGAAACAAGAGTTCAGGCAGTGTTGCCTGATTCTAGGCAGATATCTTTGCTGGGTAGTTCTGGGGTGGCAGTGAAGAGATGTGGCAGCGAGATTTGGTACAGATGCTCATTATCCAAGTGCAAAGACAAGCTAGCAGAATGCCTAGTTTTAGTGGCACATTCGAACACTGTGGCAACAAGGTTGGCGACATGGCTCGGTGGCGGCACGGTGGGTGTCTGAGACACCTTCGATTCCATTTCCAGTTATTTCGGTTCTGATGCCGGAGTCCCATCGTGGCCGTCCAGGTCAGCAGTCAGGAGAAAACTGCAGCATTACTGTACTGATGTCACTTTGTGAAAAAGATTACCACCCAAGGAGAGGATCAGTCATTGAAATTGTACTCAGTCAGGATTGTCATTTGTCTCCTGTATGCTTAAAGTTTGAGTGGTGGCCCCATTGTCTTTCTCCTTTCCCCCGGCTAAGCGTCCGATTGTTTCACACAAAAGCCTGTTGCTGATCCCATTTGTCCAGCATTTTGCCCCTGCCAGGCTCCAAATCAAAGCATCACTTGCGTTTTCCAGTTCTTAGACCAACTAGAAACTGGTTTGTAGTTGGAGTGGGAGTGGTAGTGGGAGGAGTATCTGTCAGCGTCTAGCTTATTATAGCGTTTGTCTGTCCGGGAAGCGTTGCGGAGAAGCTGATTGGTTCGCACACAACGATCGAGTCTCGTCGAACCGGTGATGCTGTTAGTGCTGGTTGAGAGGAGGGAGGAGTGGGAGGGTCTGGATTTCATCGGTGTTAGGTTGATTGATTCTCTGAGATCTCACTAAATTCGTCATGTTCTTGCCGATGTCCAGGTCGGAAAGGCCGGTGTGAGGTTCCTTGAGCCCCAAGCAAGGGTAGAAGAGCTTCGCTCTGTTAGATTTTTTTTTTCGTTCCGTCTGCTTAAGTGAGTCTGTGTGCATACTTTTTTTCTTTTAATAATGTTTTCGCGAAAAAAACAGCGAAATCTCATGTTGAAGATGTGATTAGAGTCATTTCTGACCACTCAGTACGAAGGTTTGGATCGATTCTGGTGCATGTCAAGATCCGCCAACATTTGCCATACCACTTTTGCTGATCATCAGAGGCTGGAAAGACGATGCCCTTGTGCAGTGCAGGACGGCGGAAGTAGCTAGCCAGCTAGCCAGCGCAAGGATTTGTCAATTGAGGTCTAGTGTAACGGACCACCATCGAAGTTAAAGCAGCACCAGTGACCCTCACTTCCTGTGCTGCTGCTTGCTTCAAAGGTTTGCATGCGTACCCTAGGATACTGATGTTGGTGGGTTTTCTAGTCCGATCAAAAGCCCTCTGATGCATTATAGTAACGCAACCAACTCCATTCTGTCGATCATCCTCACCAAGTCTAGTTCCAGCGCTTGTGAGCTTCACACAGATCAGGATTTGAGAGTAAGAAATAAAATGATTCACACCAATTATCTGAAGTATGTCAGGAAGAGCTTTAAACTGACTGAAAGATCCAGTCCCTCGCTTTACTCTAACTGACTTTAAGCGATATTATATACTGTCAGTTAGATAGTAAAGTGAATTGAGCATCGAGTCTACACGTTTGTTCATGGGGGAGGTTTACGTAATATCATTATACGCCAATTTTTATCTTTGTTGGGCAGGCCTCTTAGAAAAAAACTGATTTCAGGAAAACAGTAATAAATAATGAAAAGGGAAAACCAATGAAGGAGATAAGTGCATCTTAATCATAAATAAAATAGTAAAGTACAACTGAATGAGACTTCGTGGCGTAGTGAGTACATTGTGACTTAATAACTTGAAATGGACGTCGACAGAAAGCTATATAACACGTCAAGGCCTCAGGGACGTTGGTCTGTTGTTGTGGTCGGTCAAGCTTCTGTGCATTTCTAGCCAGTGTTCCTTAGGTTTAACCAGCATGCTGTGGGTCATGTTCAACTAACTAGATTTTCTGGTCACTCCCCACACTTACGATATTTTGGAAAACTGTGGTGAGTCCTTTAGCTTCGTTAGTTGTACCGGGACCCGCTTGTAATTTGAACAACTTTATCGTTCATAACATGAAACATTGTCACAAGATTGGAAGAGAGCAACTGTTGACGCATTGCTCAATCAGAATCATATCGATATGCTAACTTGCAGAGCAAAGATTCTGAAGATGGCGGTTATGCTACTGACGAGATTCACAAGTTCGCATAGTTTGACAGATTAACTGAGATATCCTGTAATTTGCCAACACGTTCCAAGCATGCAGCAGACTACTGAGCGATTGAAGAAGAGAGTGCATGTCGTTGAAAATTGGTATCAAAGTCTGCAGTCCGCTGTCTTTGTCTAAGGTCAAGAATAAAAAAAACCCTGTTAGTCGGCAATGTGAAGAATAAAACTCATTAATTCGTTCTCCGTTTAACTATCTTTCCGATTAGTTACTTTCCGATTAAGTCACTAAACTTAGCATTTGTCGGTCTTCGCATTCGCTCTTCTAATTTCGGATTTTATAATGTCTAGGACGCGGCTGATGATCTGAACACTGTAGAGTCTTATTTTCAAGAATCATCTCGGAGTAATTCATACACTTCCATTTAAATTATTAAATAAGTGGACTAGCTGTTTCCGCATGTGAGTTCACTAAATGTGTAGTCAGTGCCACTTTACGTATCTCAGTCTAACTGCGGACAGAAGCACTTGTTCTTAAATCCTCGACCCGTGGTTTAGTGTCAGTCTCGCTAGTGTTTTGCCTCCTGCGCATCGTATCTAGGACTGAGGCTGTGACTGGAGACGTTGCAAGGGAGATGAAGGTGTCAGTACACTGTAAGAGCATAATCATCAGAAAGGCTGGTTGTCGAATTACCAGACTCAGAGAAACAGAGGATATACTTGCAGGTAAAGGTTTTAGTTGGACAGTGGCCAGGGTGAGGGCACATGGTACACGTTGTCCAAACAGTTGGGTTCTTTGTTCGAAGGATCGTAGCTACTCTTGCAACCTCTTAGAAATGATTTTCTCGAGATCCACCCGACCGACATAGAGTTTAGGACACATTAGAGCTTTCATTGCTGTAACTTGTGAAATTTTGGCCCGAGAAATGATTTTCTGGGTCACGCTCTTTCAACTAACTGACTATGCGCTTACCAATTGAGTAGCATTTTTGGAGTTAAGTTTCCAGCTTCTCTTCGTTAAACTGTTTCTCCACGCTCCGCGCCAAGCTTCGGCGCTCACAACTTTCAAAATTTGAACTGAAAACAACTCTGCTGTATTAACTGATTCATTGTCTTCATCACTTTTTCTTTGAATCAGAACATCTCATTTGCACTGTTTCCGTGAACTCTTGAACAGCAGTAAATAGGGGGCTTCTAACATTGTGCCAATTGTATGACAGACTTCTCAGTTAAGGGGTACTGCAAGGAGTGTAGTTAGTGTACGCGATGAACAACAACAATGCACCCGTTCCAGTGGGATTTAGGTTCCATCCAACTGACGAGGAGCTGGTTGGGTATTACTTGCACGGCAAAGTGGGAAGATCTCAGAGAGACCAGCTCATTCAGGAGTTGGACCTCTACAAAATCGAGCCCTGGGATCTCCAAGGTAAGAATCGATCAGAATCCTCGGTGTACTATGTATGACACCAGACTAGAAAACACGTCCTCACATGCTTCGTTGCCCCATTTCAGTCTATTAAGATTGAACTCATGGTGTGTTCGAGCCCTGGGATTGCAATTAGATTCCATGTCCACTACGTACACGGACAAGTAACCCCGATGTGGTCATCAGAAGTGTGCAGGATTGGGGACGACCCACCAGAGAATCAAAACGACTGGTACTTCTTCAGCCACAAAGACAAAAAGTACCCCTCGGGCAATCGAGCGAACCGCGCCACAACCGCTGGCTTCTGGAAGGCCACTGGTCGTGACAAGCCCATCCACACGCAACGCCATGTGACAGGCATGCGGAAGACGTTAGTCTTCTACAAGGGGCGAGCACCACATGGCCAGAAAACGGACTGGATCATGCACGAGTTTCGTCTAGACGAAGGCCCCGGCGTCACCTTGAACTTCGTAAGCACCTCCCTCAAAATTCATCTACTTCTCTACGTATCTACAGATCTAGTGTTCATTTTAAGGTTTGAGTACTTTCTCCAAACATTCATTTCGTTCAGAATAATGTGGGGGTGCTGATTGCGACTGTGTTCGCCAAGTTGTGCAGGAATCAGATGGCTGGGTGGTGTGTCGAGTTTTCCGAAAAGTCAAGAACCTAAAGAGCCAAGAGACGTCGTGTTCCTTCGAGGAGGATCAGCATCTGCTGCCGGAGCTCATGAGCCCCGCAAATGGCAGCGGAGGTTCCAACGGTCGAGGCGGCGAGGAACATTACAACCCACATCTCCACCATCACTTTAATTTCACATGCAAGCAGGAGATTAGCGTGGATGACTACCGCAGTCCCATCATCGAGAATCTCCACCACCTTCAGGAGCTGCAGAGGTCGATCGAAGATGGCGGTCTCCATAATTCTGTGGGGCCGTCATCGTCTTCCACGTTTCGGTCCCTACAGCAAATGTGCTCAAACGGCAGATTCTCCCGAGACCACGCCGAGTACTCTGTGACTCCTTTTCACGTCGAGTCTGCTTCACTCATAGATTTCGACGATGCAAAATCAAGCGTCAGTCACGAAAGCTCGTCCTTCCCTGCCTTGACGCATCACGACGCTGACAACTGGATGTTGGAGTGCGGAGCGTCCAAAGGTGGTCCACGGCGCGACCAGACCCTAGCGGACGTTACTTGTCATGTTCGCATCAAGACGCGGCAGTCATCGGACCATTTGTCGACGTCAACGAATCATGAAAATTTCGTTCATTTCTGGAATGTATAGTACTCCCAAGGTATATCAAAGCGATCAATATCTGGATCACGTGATTTTATTGTCGACGTCATCGAAATAGGTCTAGCTTTCTCAGCACATTTCGAATAAGAGCTCTCACAGGATCGGCGACGTAATCCCGAGGACTGGAATTCAGGTCCATAAAATTCCAGGTGTCAACAAAAGCAAGAGAAAGTCACTGCAATTTTGGTCGAAAACATGACCTTGTTGAGAGTCACAAGCAGATCCAGGAGAAATAATAGGGAAAAGAATGCTATTCCAGAGAATGAGGTGGATCACCACGCAAAGTGGCCAGAAATTGGCATGGATTGAGGAAAAGATGATGCTCAACGCCAGACAGAAAAATGATTGAAAGTGTACATTTTGCAATATTTGTGACCCCGTGTTTTGCTGCCCTCAAATCATGTTGCAGCTCATGTAAGCCATAGCTTGTGCATGGTCCTTGAGGAATCACCAAAATCCTCGGTTTAGTACATACAATCCACAATTCATTTGTGCATGATCAATCAGGAGAAAAGTATCCTCAAGGGCTCACGATTCAAATATGCTGAAAGATTTGAAACTGAAATCAATAAAGTTGACACATACATTTTGAACCCAGTTTGATATAAAGACCATCATCAAGGATTTTATTACTCAAAATTAAGGCGTTGCAAGACATTTGTAAAACGATATTTATTTTTTTATTTTTTTATTTTTATTTTTTGCTAAACATCTGTGATCGTCATATTTTACGACGTCCAAATGAATCCATCCTCACAACCCTTTCGATTTGTGTAAACTCTAGCGTGTCATTTGTTGGAGCAGCTTGATACTCATGAATATGCCAGTTCATGCCAATTCTCATTCCATTTAGAATTTTCTGTAGTTTACGATATCCTTATTCTAGATCAGGCGCCTAAATATACGACATCCTAGTAATGTCCTGCGGAGCTTTGAGAAAGCTGGTCATCGGAACGACTACCCTCTTAAAACATCTCTAAGTTATGCATGACCACCACTGCAACTACTAATAACGATGACAATGAGGAGGCCAACTGCTCGCAGACCATCCTCAACACGTTGTAGAATTATCATAATATTCGAACGAAAAAATATTCGCACATCTTCAAAATGCAAGTTTCCTTCAAATCAAGTGACCGCCACGTACTCTTGCTACAGGAATCTCTCTCGACAACGAAGGGCTCCATCAATGCTGTAAATTTAAGCGACATCTGGGGTGAAGGACCGACATTGATCAGATAGGCATGATATAAAAATCTAATACTCAGTTCTGCGCTGATTACCCATGGTAAGCTGGAGTCGCTGCTGGTGAACAATTTTTGGAGCATTGTGGCCAGGAGAGCAGCAGCATACGTTGGCAGAACGATCGGGTGATGGAAAGGGATTAACTTGGGTCGATCCTGAACCATCTGGGGTCAAGACACTTGCTTCGCAGTGTGGAATTGTCTGGTGCATGAGGTGCAGAAAACTTGCTTGCTACGTCTGTCCGTGCTGGGAAACTGATCCTCTAGAAAAACCAGTTTTTGCTTTTCCTGTGAGTGAATCGAATGCCACCCATCTGCCAGGGAATGATGTCTTTTGGGTCCTGACAAGTGGAGCCCTGAGAACAATAAAAAAAGCTTCTCAGATTCAATCCATTGCGCTAGCTCTTGATTACGAAGTCTTGTCCGACATGCCCCGGATTCAGTTTCATTCCATGCACGCTGGTTAGTATCATAAACTTCCACTGAGGACATACTATAGTACAAACGGAATATGCCTCCTTGAGTTACTAGACGCGAAGATTTATCCTGCAGGTCATTCACAGCGACTTTGAAGTTTTATGCTGACCGGTGCATAAAATTGATAGAAAGTGCATTTTTAGGGGGAGTTGGAACCGGATTTTTCCCGATCACACGCGTGGAAATGCACAATGGTAGCACTCTTAGATATCGACAACGCTTGTGAAGATTCATGTGGATGAGAATGTCGGCGCGGCGATCATCGTTGTCATTGCATCAATATTCGATCATACTGGCAGGCTGGAATTCCATTGTTTCCATCAATCGAGGCTGAACTTGCCCGTGTCACGAACCTGGAAAAACTGCCCCATGTGATGACAAAGTTGTTGTGTGTCGCTTGGCATTCCAAAAAGCTTCAAGCGAAAGCGACCTGTACAATTCTCTGGAACACGACCAAAATCTTATACCTCACGCTTCTCGTTCAGATATGGCCGGATGTTAAGATTCAAAACTGAGAGGAAGTCCCACCAAATCTCTTGGAATCACATCTTTGTAAAAACTTTTACCTTGGTCACCTGGGAAATCCTCCGACAACGAAGTAGAATCACATACGTTACTTATGCAGCGGATTTTTCAGTAGAAATCTTGAGTGGCGAGTACCAAACATTTTCAAGCAATTTCATTTCGCTCCTAGTCGTCATAGCCGGGAATGATGAGTGTAAGACGGCGGCGAAGGCTCTGAAGTTATGTCCTCGTTCTGTTCTAACACAAAGAGATCCATAACCCATCAAATCTGGGTAACAATGATGACTATAGGCAGCATAACCTGGTTTGAGCAACTTATGTTCCCCAACTTTTAGCGTTACAGATCATGCATCTTCATGTGTAGATGTGTATGTTGTGGAGGTTTGCGAGTGGTCATGACCGTCTGGAATTTTTTTGATGCATCCGTGGAGTAAAATTACGTGAAACACTTTCAGCTCGAGTTTGTGAAAATCGCAAATTAATTAATTAGTTTGAATAACCCTACCCATGATATCGACTCAAATGCATAGTAATCCTGACATGTTATTTGTCGCGATTAACAACTCAGAAGATGCTTCCACAATGACGGAGGTCACTTTTAGACATCACCAAAGTCCATCACTCTCGATCGAAAACGTGCACATCAAAAACTTTATAATGAAATTACATACTTAAAAAATAAACAAATAAATAAAACGAAACGAAACGAAACGAGAAAAACGTCTTGATGTCCTTGCTACACTCCAACTTCAAGTATTTTTAGGTTACATTAGTTGGGGGTTTGGACCCAGAGAAAACCAGCTCGTGAACTCCAGGCGCAAGCCACATCAGTTTTCTCCGGATCGTTCACCAGGATGCAAACTACCACGAGTCTTGCGAAGCGCAAGAACTAGCCTTCTCTCCAAGTCGAGGGGGTCTCTTAACAAGCGCATCCATTGGATGAGAAACGTACTCCTGCAGACCCCCCGAAACCGCGACCATCGTGCACATGCGCACAGCGCTGGCTCCCCATGTGCACAAGTCGAACTTAATGGCTAGGATTCTACAAGTATGCCGAGAATCAAGATTCTAGTCCCAGCTCCATGCATCATCCGACCACCAGATCACCTCCCCATGCACTTCGCCCCATTGTCAGTCTATGATTCTTCTCAGCTTGTCCCGGTTGCCGGAATCGCCCTGTGCCTTCCACAACCAACCATCAACCCTGTCAAGTGTCTCAGTTATTCCCTCCGCTATTACAACACACAAAACTCTATAAAAAGCTTAACTGTATTCTGTGTTCCTCCCAATGTAATTCGATCAGAAACCGAAAGCTTCGGCGCCTAGATCCGCTGATGGATCACTCACTACTCGTTCACCAGGAGGTCACATACTACGGTGAAATGCCTCTGATCTTGAAGCTAGTTGCCGAAGTGTGCATGGAATCGGAGTTTCCGGGCATCGATCGTCTATCAGATTAGCGTTTCTAGCCAGATCTAGCATCTCCTGGTCGCCGAGATTCAGATCCAGCAAGTCCTTCGGAGGAAACCGGAGTCATTACGATGCAATTGGGTGTCTGTAGAGGCTCTTGATGATTGGAATGTTACGATTAGCACATGATTCTGAGCACTAATCATGTTACCATTTTGCCATGTTAGAAGATGATTTTGTGAGCACAAGTCATGTCTCCGCTTTTCAATATTACAGGATGGTTTTGAAGATGCTTCCTGATTCAATTTTATGGTGTACAGAGGGTGAAAAAAGAGTTTTCTCTTTTGTGAATCCCGTGCATGTGTTTTGAACTTTTGGATTTACAAGTGGGATTTAACTGTTTTTTTAAAAGAGGAAATGGAAAATTAACTCCACATTTTGAGAGTGTATTCCATGTTGAAAACACATATAAGATGTGTTGCTGAATGGTTGTGTATTCTACAGAATCAGCTTGAAACACTTTTTATTGTTATTATCATTAAAAGAAACTGTGCAAGTTCAATATGTGTTGGTGTTGTAAATGCATTGAAATGTAGAATGAAAATGAATTGTTATATGAAAATACCTGATTCTTTTGCGAAGATGTGGTATAAGTCTCTCAAATTCTTGGTGATATTTATAAAAAAATTCTAATAGGAATTCTTAACAAGTTCAAAAATCAAGAAAAAAAACATTAAAAACATTGCACAGCTACAGTTGTTTACCTTTTTATATATAGAACAAATTCATTGGAACATATTAATGTTTTGTGTAATTTTTTTTTAATTTACTTGTACGTTTATCGGTTAAAGGATTTCTGAAAGTTCAAAATTCTATCACTTAATTGATATTCAATACCACATGTGATCTTTTTTAACATTTATTTTTTTTCTTAAGTTTTAGAAACTTGTGCATGCATTGAATGAAATATTTAATATGAAAAAACTTTATATATAAATATATATGTATAAAAATATAAATACATGTGTATATATAAATATAAAAATTCTCTTTGTACTTATAATATTATTGAAAAAATAAAATTTTAAATTAGAATATAATAACTAAGAACTTAGACAAAAAGAATTTAGGCTACTAATTAGCATTAATATAAACAAAATAAAGGTCACTCTTTTTAAGTTCATATGTTTTTCTTGTTAAATTTCTTTAACTTGTGATTTTTGAATTTTATCATATACAAGTAAAACTATTTAGTATTCTTAATATGAATTGAAATATTAGGATTTTTTTTTTTTTGATGTTTTCTAATAAATCAAAATTCTCAAACCTAAACTACAAAACAATATGTCAAATGATGTATTTTCATGCATTCCAATAAACTGTCTATTCTAACACACTTTCAATTATTTTGAATGTTTAAACTTTCAGGATAAAATTATATAAACTGTGAATTGTCCATCTGCAAAATAGATTTTGTAATTTCACAATTTATTATTGTTCAGAGCAACAAATTCCATATATCTTGTAGTTGGGACATTATTGTAAATGTGAGTTTTTATTAGTACTTAAAAAAATAGCATAAGATGTAAGTAAAAACTTGTACTCAAAACGTGTATTATGTATCTGATACATAAAAATAATAATTTAAACTCGTATTTCTAATAGCCAATGAAGAATACCTTACCAATAAATAAAATAATATAATATCTAGTCTAACAAGTTAAAATTGTTGTGTATTCTCATTATCAATATTATTTCTTTTACTTCATTATGTGGCAAATTTACAATTACCCACTTTTTTTTCACTTAAAATGAATTATGGAAAAAAAGTATTTGACAACTTGATAACAACTTGCTTCCAAAAATAAATAACAACCCAAAACAAATACAAATATGTGTATACATGTATTTAGGGGAATGTTAAATAGACCCATGCTTTTACTAAATAGACGCACCCTTGATGAAGAATATGATAATCATGATGAATGTGGTTGGTTTTTATGGATTGCAGATCCAGTAGTGGAGAAATGAATCTAGAGGTCATTTTATTTTTATTTTTTATTTATTTTTCCATAATGGTTAGGATGGATGGATTAATTTAATAAAAACATGTGTCTATTTAACATTCTCTTATATATATATATATATATATAATATTATAGTGGAGAGATTTTCAGGAAAACATGAATAGGTGCAAGAGGAGTTGCATAAGTGTAGTTTTTTTTTTAATTATTATTCCTTTTTTCTTCAAGCTACTTTACATTGAATATGTTTTAGAACAATTAATTTTACACTTTTGTATGAGTGTATACACGCATACATGTACAGAAAACATAAAAACATACTGTATTCTAATATATACCCAGATCCAGGCCCTTGTCCTCTCCTCGGAGTAAAGGCATAAATAAATGTCTTGATAGGGGGACTCATTACAGCCCAGAAACACTGAAAAACTTTAATGTTTGAATAAATGAGAAGCTGGCAAGACCTACATGTGTCCTTTCGTCATCCATTCAATCAAATTCACATGCTTTTGCCTTCCTCACTGCATACCACTCTTTTAGTATGCAGTCATCAATGTTCACAATAATTGTAATTCTATTTCTCTTTGTATATGTATATATTTAGAAATGAATGAAAAAGAAAATTTTAAAAAATAATAAAAAATGAAATGAATACTTTCCAAGTTACATTGACTCTTGAATTCACATGTGGGAGGATGCATGTATATATATATATATATATATATATATAAGAAAATTCATCAAGTGAAAAGTCATGTATTTTTGTGGAGTTTAATGAGCTTTTCACACAAAGAAAAGATAAATTTGTGAGGAAAATTGGGGTAGAGGAAGCTACTTTTGTGTGAGAGAAGAATGACATGGGGTTGTGGAATGACATGTTGTTGTAGTATTTGTTGTTGATCCCATCACACAAAATCAAGGGGAATGAGGCATAAGTGTGGGGAGGCCAAGAGAACATAAAAGAGTCAATTCATGGGGCATCCATCACAAATGGGGTGATGACCATGTCCACATCAGCAATTTTTCCAACATGGGATGGTGAGCTGTCCCATTTGGTGGAATCCAACACAACACCAAACACTGTTGTTTTTTTAACTATCAACTTGGGACAGCATGGCAAGAAAAAAAAACATTTAACAACAACAATTCAAGTCAAGTCTAGTGGCGTTACGGCCCCATTGCCATGAAAGCTGAGCTTCCACCAGTAGGTTTATACCCGGCACTCTCACGAACCCCGACCTGAAGATACCCTTCGATACCCGCTTGGTTCCGACTGTCCCGGGCCTCTGTTACATCAACATCAGACTCATATCCGTGGCGACGCTCTTGCCGTGCGAACGTCACAGCAGCCTCATTGCCACCTCAGCCCATTCGTGGCCACCTCAGCACGACTCCCGCATCATTGGACGCAGTTGCGAACCTAAAAATAGCAAGGTTCCCGACACACGGGGAACATCGTCGTCTCGAGGTTCGGATTGACCGTCCATTGGTCGCGCGCAATTACTACCGGTAGGTCGTTTGGTTCACTTCTTCGAAACCCAGGTTGCACGCCACGTAATCACGGAGATAGAGTATTTTCTCAAGGCCATTGACAGCCATTAGATCAGATTCGGTGATGTCTGTGTTACAGAATCCATTAGGGCTTAAGAAACACATGGCTTCATTAACTCCTACTAAAATGTTCAGCCACTAATGTTTCCCACGAAAAATAAACAAAGGAAAATAAATAAATGAATAATTAAATAAGAAGTAAGAGACAAGATTACATGGACCCATTGTAATGGCCAAAATAACAACAGCTACGCACTAGTATGACATCATTGTGTTCCCAAATGATTGAACGCCCCACTCTGCTAATTGCAAAAAAAGTTTTTATCGTATACTGAATGCCTCCGCCACGTAGGACAAACGCATCTAGCGGTTACAAGCTCAATAATTTGAAACACTCCAGTTCAGTTCTCTTAACAAAATTCTCGTAATTTTCCACCTTATTTTCTATTTGGGTATCTCAAGTACGTTGCGGCATTCGGGGATATATTTATATATATATATATATATATGTGTGTGCGCCTGGGGCCGGAATAGAGGGAACATGCAGGTGTGAAATGAATTAATTTTGGGAAATAACGACAAAAGAGTGGCACAGGAACTCGCTCCCGTGGATTGGAACAATGCCGAGGGAGGTGCGTTCACGTTCACGTTCGCGAATAGTAAAGAGACTCCCGCGGTTACCGGCTCCTTTACGGGCTGCCACGACACACGCGGCCTATATTTCCGCCTCGACCCGCTCCATGTGACCGCTCCCGCCGGTCCCCGTGGCGAACTCCTCCCCGGGTATGACCCATATACTCGGCAAGTTAACGGGCTGTGCCAGTGCGCGCGTCGTCTCGCTCGCGCTGGGCGCTGAGTTGGGTGGTGGCTTGTCATCGGTTGAGGAAACCCGTCACTCCAGCGCTGAGCTCACGCGGAAATGCTCCTCCTCCTCTTCGAACGCGCGGTCTCTTCGTAATGGTTTTATTGGTTCATGTTTAGTGCGACACAGCGCACTCGCTGATCTCCAGCTTATGATCTCCTTTGAATGATTGGGTTCCCGGTGGTTGAGCTTCAGGTTCTCCGTTGCAGGCATCGACGAACGGAGTGTGATGTGGGTGTTTCATGTGCCAGTGCCCTTTCACTTCTGTCGAGGTTCTCACTAGAGGCCTCTTTTCTGTAATTTTGTATGATATGGTCTAGAGGTGGAATAATCGGCACGAGTCTCGATGGAAGTGGCGAGCTCATTGTTAGCACTAGGGGCCCATGGGGACTGACGCAAGAGCTATGGTGATCTCTCTTGTTTTGTGAGTATTGAATCCAAGATCTTCTCTGGGACGTGAAGGAGCTTGAAGTGTCGCAAAGTGAGCTTATTGGGGATACATTGAGTGAGTGAGTGCAGCCATTCATACGAGGAGTTTGTATCAACTCTAGTTTTTTTCAGAACAGGTTCAAGTATCGTAGGGTGGAGTGTTCACACCTGTATAATAGTGTGGCATGAAGACGTTCGAACATGCACTTATGGTATCAGAATCGAGGTTGTGTTTTTTGCTCTACCTTGGCGCTCCTCTATGGATTTGCGAGTGAGAATTACTGGCGTCTCGGTTGAAGGGCAACTTCTTGTATATTGAACAGAAGACATTGACTATTGTAACTAGTTCAGCACTTGTGTGTGCTCCATCAATGTAGTGCTATCTGCTCATCTTATTATAGAAAGCCATTTTTTTATCATTGCGAACAAAATTTGCAGGCTGTTTTTCAACAGCGAGCAGTCATGGGAAGCTCCGGAAACCTTAGCAAGTTAATTATCCCGAAACACCACTGGCAAGAATGTAAGGACAACACTGTGTGCATGAATGCGTGGAATTTCAAGGACTCGGGGCCGGATTCGCGAGGCGCTCAGCTTAGGTCGAGAGTGCAATGGTGGCTGGCCTTTTCTCTCTGCGCCGGCCTCACAGTGGTTCCGTTGTTGATGTTCATTTGCGCCATTGATAACATGGAGGTGACCACCAGGCGGCAGCCTTGGATTTCTAAAGGCGGTCCTCATCTGGAATTGATAGGGTAAGCCTTTCCTCACATCGCAAATTATTGTAGCAGAGTTTTTGTTTTCTTAACCAGCTTTTGCAAAAAAAAACATGGAGTTTACGAACTCTGCCATATTCTTCATGTTTTTCTTTTTTTAAAAAATAGAAGACTGGTTTTTCCAGTGTACATTCCAGATGGAGTTTTTTGCGAAGCAGTAGATTGGCGCCAATCGACGACGAGAGCAAGGGGACCGGCAAATCTCGAACTGCACTACAAGGAATGGGTACTCTACTAAGGACGGGAACACGAGCGATGCAAGAACTGATCGTGGCCCATTTGTCTGAAGACACTACCAGTGAAGAACTTCGCCTATTCTTAAGATCACTTCATCGAAGTGGGTCGACTGCGAGGGCTGATGTCGTGCTCTTGTTTCCTTCAAGTCCAATGCCGATGGCAATGGCGAAGGTCATTCACGAGGAAGAGGAGAGCTTCCAAAATCTGCTCGAGGGTTTTGAAAGAGGAGCTTCAGTCGTTGACGCAGAGGGTTCAACATATGCAAGTCTGATTCTAGCCCAATTTCTGATGATGACGATGACGATGACGAATAGTACTTTTATGTTGTCTAGATTGCTGGTTTTGAGCAAATAGTATAATTTGCACGTGTTTGGGTATGGTTGCGGCGTGCTTATTAACCAGTACATGCCGAATCGTACAATGCAGAGCCCAACTCCACAATCTCTCCGTTCAATGGTATGGCGTTCAAGGAGTCCGGCGAGGAGGAGCAAGACGTAGCCCAAGAGATCATATGGGGCAAGCGACATGGCGTGTCAGAGAGTATCGAGGAGGTGCAAACCAGCACAAGCTCAGCCGCGTGGGGCAGCGTGGTTTCGTTTGATGTTCAGGAGTTGGATCCCCAGGACGCTTTGCAAGGCTTCTTCGACGCACCTCCGGTGCAACTGCGGCGCTGGGTGTGCTACGACATGCTACTAGGGATGATCAAGTCCCGCTACAAGATCGTGCTGGTATCGCAAGTGAAAGGGGTATACGTCCTCGGCGACGCGCTATCCGCAACTCGAAAGAAGCCGACCCTTTACATCACCGCTGAGGATCTTGTCTGGAGAGACGCGAAACGGGAGCCTGTAGCTGAGATATTGTCAGAAGAGGTAGATGGCAACGTTAATGACGAAGATTCCCTCAGGTCTACAGTGGTTGATCTCCCTGCAGCCAGGCACGAGTCCATCAGGAGGATCTTGAGGGAAAGCAGCAGGCTTAAAGCCTCGGAGGACGGGGGAATCAATGCCGAAGCGAAGGAGATCAGCAACGAAGGCAGAACGGAGGGTCCGAAGGCGAAGAAGGAGCCTCCTCAGACGTGGCGCCATGCCCAGGGCTTGATACAAAGCGTTTATGGCACCCAGGTGTGGAGTACTTTGGAAGAGCCTGACAAGCAGCGTGCAGTTGTCAGTACAGCAGTGATCATGGGAGGTGTGCAGTACGTTCGAGGATTATCCATCAAGATGACCTCCGAGATTGTGAGGGTGGCGATGGAGCGCAAGAGTCGACGCACGTTCCATGACAAGGCTGTGCTCAACATGTGGATGCATAAAAAAGCTGCACTTGGCAAGCGAATAGCAGACCACTTGAAGGTGATGCGTAACCAGGACTCGGTGGTGCACTCGGCCCAGACCTCTCGTCAACCATTCGTGTTCTGGAGGAAGAGGGACCCAAGCAGCAGGTATTTGGTCGTGCATCAGGAGCACGCTGATGGCGTCACGGAGCTTCGTCAGGAACTCTGCAGATTAGATTCCACTGTCTACCAGCGGTGCTCGTGACACGGTACTTTCGAGACAACAATCAGGCGTTAAAACAACGCCCTCTCACTGAGCACGGTGATGATCCGTGGACCACATTCACATAAAGAATAATGGATTCGCGTACAGCCCCCACCGCTAGTCGTACTGAAACTCCGGTGTCGGTAACCGCGATCAATGATCAGACTAACTATCGATCATGCGACGCTCATTTTATCAGGTTGGGTTGCGCCTATAAGCCATCCTCTCAAGCTTGTGGTTGATCGAAATCGTGCACTGCTATCGACGTCAATGCTTGATAGAGATCGGTATCAGAGAGCGACAATCCGTGAAAACCAGTATACCATGTCGTAGGTAGTATTTCGGAATTTCGGAGCATCAAACCTTGTGATTTATAGAACTAGTTGGTTTAGCCTTTAGACCTACTAAGATTATTTACAGACAAACATCAGGTGTAGATTCATCACTATTTGTCTCCCGTTTCTTAAGTAACAGCTCAACATTTCTGGACTTAAATTCTAGGACTAACAGTAGCAATTTGTTTTGACATATTTTGTTTGCGGAGTATGAATCATGTTTAATGTTTACTAGTTTGCAACTTAAGAACCATGATCTATGGTGAACGAAACTTCGGAACAGAAAGTAGATCCAGAATAATTTGAAGGATTGGAAGTGGAGTAGTTGTGCGGGAAACAAGGTTTCCAGTGCAAGTTTTGGTTAATTGTGCAGTGAGTGTTGTCTTTGGTGGTTTTGAAAATGAAACCCAGTCTAAATCTACTGTACCTGGAAGTTGAGTTATACTTCGTTATGTTTGGTTTCGCAAAATGATTACAAAAATGCTGTATGTAATATTGTTTGCAAATTGGCTCGATAACATTGCTATTTTCAGTATGTAAGCACATACACTGTTGTGAATAAATTCAGGATTAGATCACTTGTACACATCTAGAATCTATCAGGTGAAATGATTGTGGAGTGTCTTGAAACTTCTGAAACTAGTGCAAAAACCAGACAAGTGAAATAATAATCTAACCATGGGAATGTTATGTTTCTCAAATCCTGAAGAATCAATATTAATTTCAATTGTGAATTGAATTTTGAAAATAAAACTCGATTATCTTTTTAAAAAATAGACTTCGACTACATCATGCATAAAAACGGTAAAATGAAATCATAAATAATCGAAAACATACTATACTTTCATATTAAAAGGATAATTCACCCAATCTGTCCAAATCATGCATAATGAACATAAACGAAAGAATCACAAGTTTATTTAATCTAACAATCAAATAATATTCAATACTTATCAATTTTTAATAAATAAAAAAGACATAGTTACACAGTTGGATTCATTATAATTCATACCACACATCAGGTGCAATGGTGTATGCAATTGCTCTATACAATTGATTGGCTAGATTTTGTTACTAAAGTAAACTGGTCCAAATCTTGCTTGTGGAACATCAACACCAATCACAACGTCTAAATACAAAATCTGAATAATTTCAATTGTTTGCACATTGTCCAGTGAATTGACAGCATGGCAATGTGCATTGCGTGGAACGAGTTCGAAAACCAGCCTCCACAGTAGGTCACAGATAATGAGCTGATTCTGGGCTGCTGCAACTGTAATCCTCTATATCTGAAATGATGTTTATGATGCTGGAGACTATACAGGAGAACAGAATTCAAAATAATCGTCTCTCCGTATTCTCACGTATCCATGAGACGTTACACTGAAAAAAATTGAATGATTGCGAATGACCTGACAGCTATGAAAATCATCTCCTTGTGAGCATGTGCACACACGTGAGACCACCGTCACCCTCAACGTCGATATCTGGATTCATTGATACCCATACATAATTATTCATAGATGGACAGATAGATATGGTACCACGGTCCCGCCCTGGATTTTTTAACAGCAACAGTCCCCTATTTTGGCGAGTGCAAGTATCAAATGACACAAAATGGTCGCATCTAGACAATTCTCCTAGATTCTCTTCAGAATAACAATGAAGTATGTACACAAAATTGTGAAGAAGTACCTTGAATCTATTTTTAAAAACTTTAAACTGCATCCAAAAGCAGATGACTGCAACAAAAAGTACATACAGTACACTGCAATCGGGTCCTCAATGTTGTTCAAAATCTTGTAGATGTACAAAAAAAGGTGATACAAGTCTTTATATCGACCACCTAACAGGAAAGTGAGGTCGCTTTTCTTTCTTTCTGATTCTCACAAAAGACTCCGTGAACTTTTGGCGATCACGAAAGAAGTCGATTTTTTCTGGATAACTTCTACGCATTGGTAGGCTATTAATCTTCTCTGTAAAAATGCTTTTTTAAAAAAGAACAAAGAAAGAGAGAAAAATACACAAAAGAAAAGAAAAGAAAAGTTCCTTTCGGAGAAGAATCGTGCTATAACAGTGAAGAATATGATCGCCCCTCACCTAACAAAATGATCACTGAAGTTGTCATGCATTGATCATTACCAATGCCTTTTCCACTGCACGTTTCGCTGTAGTATTCTCAAAAACTGATGCAAAGTGTCATAATAAATGAGGTTTCTCCTTCAAAATGTCCACGACTTGGATCTGCGGTAACCAAGATTGTACGCGTCCCAACCGTCAGCTCTGCAAGTCTCCATAACACAGCACTTTTCCTGCCAAGTACACAGAATTGAAAAACTCCGAAAAATGAGCCTGGTCTTGAAGTTACAGACTCGTAACTTTCAAAACAAGATAATCATTGTCATCTACAGTAAGGGGAAACCGCCATACTAACACAAATCCTCATAAGTTCGGAAAAATAAAGTAAGAAAATTAAAACTTGAATCTAGTAAAAAACAAAATAAAATAAAATCATAACAAAACACAATTTCAGACACATGTACCTGCAAAATGCTATTCAAATCCAGAAAAACAAACCATAGAACAACTTCAACAGCACTACTGACTACTTGCAATGAACTGATTGTGTGGTTATGGCGGGCTTACTCATATTTTAGAAGCGAACGCATGTCAGGTAAAATTTTGGCGGAGGAGTTGGTGAATAGCAGCATTTGATTGACGTCCAGCTGAGAGAGAGAGAGAGAGAGAGAGAGAGAGAGAGATCCACGGCGTCAAATTATTATGCTCCCAAATCAGCACTAACCGTCACTAAGCACCAGCGCTGGCAGCATCCGAGGACAAAGCTTCCTTGTGCCTCTTACTGAAGACGCCCATTACCCCTTTGTGGGTATGCACAACAGTACGAAGGTTCTTAAGGGTCATTTCTTGAAACATCCGACAAGCCTCGTCAATACGCCCTTTTGTGTCAAGGCCCTTAATTAAGGCAGCATGGGCAATGGCGTCAGGACTTAGCCCCCGGTCTTCCATTTCCTGGAAAATGACAAAAGCCTCGTTCACGTGCCCAGCCTTACACAGCCCTTCAATGAGACCATTGTATGTAAAATTATCTGGAACATAACCAAATTCCATCATTTTGGGATATATAGACAAGGCTTCCAAAGCCCTGCCACTCCATACTAAAGAACGTATCACACATTTGAATGTGAAGGCATTCGGACTCCACCCATACTGTTCCATTTGTTTGAATGTTTCCATTACTCTGTCTGTGTCGTTAACTCGACTGTATCCCAGCAAGAGTATGTTGAATGTGGACGTATTCGCTTGCACACCTTGACCATGCATATCCTGAAAACACACCACCTCGAGTGAATATCATGTAGCACACATATATAACAATGCTCGTCCACAATGCCCCCAACTTGTTAAAGACATCAGGTATCTCAATGACATTCAGAAAGGACCATCCATTCTATTTCATCCCCGATACTATTCCGCATCAGATACCCAATCACTCCAATTCGACCCGCCATTGGTTGTTTAACTTCAGAATTTCAATCAAAGCTCAACGACAGCTATTATAGCATACGATTCAATCGACTCATTGGAGCGACGCAATGCCTAAATCTAATGCAGTCATTATCCCAAAATGCGATGAAAAGGCGATGGAGCTAGAATTCAAAACCTGCAGCAAATGTTTCTGCGCGTCGAAATTCTGCGCAGCACCCATTATCTCGATGATAGCATTATAAGTTTGCAGGCTGGGATGGAAGGAGGGTTGTTTCCTGGCCCACTGGAAGAAAAAACTCGCAAGCTCGGGATCATCAACTTGTCGAAGCACTTTGTTCATGAGTTTAGATCTCAGCCGTATTCTCATCTTCTCCAAATCATTCACTGTATCGATCCCCCATTCCCCCCGCTTCAAAACTCCACAAATCTTCTCCACGAACTTCGCCTCCCGCACTCTCCCATCCTTCCACAGGTTCCTGTTCCTGAATCCCACGTGGCTCCTCACAGCTTCCTCACCCGAAACTGTACGAATTGATCCCACACACGACAACCCAGCAACATTCTCCTCCTGCTCGCACCATCGCTGACCCGTCCCGTGCAAATAAGCGCTTCGAACCCGCCATGAGCATGCCGCAAAACCCCTTAAGACCCTAAAACCCAGAGTCTGCGCCTCCACCTCGTGCAACAATGGAAAACTACCTGCGGTATGGGCGATACTAGTGGGCTTCCTGAGCAACAAGCGAAGCCCATGGAGGCCGCGGCGGCATGCGGCCATAGCTTGCAATGTGGAGCACGATTTACAGAGCTCGCGGCCATAGCCCGATTTTGACGAGACCAGCAATTTTGGCCATTCTCGAGGTATGGCCGCGTGGGAAGCGCGACGCCTCTCGCGCGGCTTGCGACCCGCCTACCGTGTGAAAAGGGTTCCGACCTTTTTGAGTACCGACGTGGCTCAGTACTTCACCGCCGTGTGAAAAGGATTCCGTGTTCTTCTGGTAGTCCACGTGGCAAAGGCAGCGATCACACTGGAGCCCTTCGTTCTCTTTATGAGTGTGACTTAAAGTTCATTAGATCATTTTTTTAAGTATTATTATTATTATTATTATTATTATTTTACCTTGGTTTGGTAACAGTATGAAATCCCACTATGTAGAGGAGCATCCCTAAACTTCATAGCTTAGGAAAAACATTTCTATTGTGTATGTGCTTAATTGAGGGACTTTCGTTTTTTATGATCCACCTGTAAATGAAAGAGAGCCTCACATTCATACTCATACACACAAAAAAATTAACATATATTAAGTATAATTTTGGGTCATCTTTTTCTTGGTACATGAAAAATTATAGATTAATAGAGATTTTTTTGATAATAATGAACCGGGAATACCCCCTCTATATATTCCTTTCTCAAATACATACTTATTAGTGTTTATAGTTATAAATCAAGCAATGACTTTGGGAAATACTAAATTTATGGGGCAAAAAAAAAAAAAAAAAAAAAAAACAATATTCCAGTTTTTACACGCACAGAAGTGAGCTACATTTTTCTAACAAAACGTGGAAAAGTGTAAATAATACATAATTGAAGATAGAATTAGAACCTACACCAAATCTCCATATGTAAACAAAAATAGTAAAAAAAATAAAAATGAATCAAGGTAAATCCTTTTCTTCCTTGTTCAAACTTATATTCACTCATTTTAACTATGCTTTCATAAAAGAAAAAATCTAACTCAAAAAATTTAAAATCCCACTCAATTTTTCAACGAGAAAAATTACATGGAACCCAAGTAACAAAAGGAAGGATAAATAATAAAGTAAAAGTAACAAAAGAAAGAAAAGAGGAATGAGGAGGAGGAGGCCATGGCGAAAGAAAAAGTAGATAGGAAAAGTAGAAATCAGTGGATAAAAGTTACGTTTTCCAAGCATACTTTTCCGTGCAAGTGGTCGCTGGTTTGCGAGTCGCTCAGCATCGCCGCCTCGTCAATCCTGCTTCCTGCCCTCGAAACCTCACAAATTTGTAAGGGTTTTGTGGAGCTTCGGTGTTGCAATTCAAGTTGTTGCGTCCTGTGAAATCATCTGGTGCGCTCAATTCTGCTTTTTTTTTTTTATATGCTCAATCTCGGTGGCAATTTTTCAATCGGAGTCTTTTGCAGCCGAGCGAGGTCGTTGTTACTGACTCCCCTTTGGTTTTGCGTTACGCTTGATGTATTCTCGCCTTCCTCGCAGTAGAACGCGAGCTGCGTTGTTAATTGTTTCTCATTTGGGTGAGCGTGGGTGTTGGGTAATGCAGCTCTAGAATAGGTTTTGTTGGTGGAGAGTTATTGTGAGAGGACGCTACGTTTGGAGAGTGAGCGACACAGAAGAGCAGAATGTTGGGGACTAGGGCACGAGGGTTGTCGCGCCTGTTGCTAAGGGCTGTAGCTTCAGCACCGCCTCAACCCCAAGGTGGCCAGTTCAGGATTCTACCTGTGGTGGCGTCCACGGCTTCGTCGCCTTCTCGATTTAGCTTTGGTCGAGACAATGGTACACATTTTGCTTCAATCATGTGGTTTTTCTTGATTCTGTTGCGGAAATCTGGCTTTCAGATGCGCGATCAATCCACTGCTAGACTGATTGAAGATTGATTGCACTGAGTTATGCCTGTAGAGTTGATGTGCTTGGTAGCCTACTGTTTGATTCATTGGATGGTGGATGGGGTTTTATTATCTCGTGTAGTTATGATTCATCTATGGTGTTACATTTGGTGCTTTTCAATTGTACAGAACCTATGAGACTGATTGGTCCCTGAGTGGTTTCCTCGTCACACAATTAGGGTTTAAGAGTGCTGCAGTTTGGGAAGTAGGACATGATCGGTCGGCCTTTGTGTCGTGGTTAGTTTGGAATTGGAGTTGGGTTGGGGTTGCAGTAGTTGGCAATATGGCGAATCATTGTTCTCCTATGGTTCCGCATCCGATTACTGTACCCCCATATCCTAGTGAGACCTGGATATTTATAACAGACGCAGCTTTGCTCGTGTGCTTCATTCATTGTATGGTATGCGAGTTCACTCAATTGCATTGAAAATTGTTACTGCAATGGCAGCACCTTGGGTGCTACAGCGAGCGGGTGTCACTATACCTGCTGGAGATGAACCAGACACACATGATGATTTCAAGCCCGTTCAGAAACAAGCTGATTCTTTATCCCCTGTGCACGAAGCTATTGAGAAGGTAATCTGTTTTCTTTTCTTAACGTGTGTTGGACTCATTGATTGCATGTGACAATTGTTATTTGCACAGTTTAAGCCATCCCTTCAAGACCCTCAACGACCATGTTCTGTTTGACTGATGTTGATGGGAAACAGGACGTTAAAGAGAACCAAGTGATGGTTTTCATGAAAGGAGTTCCGCAGGCGCCTCAGTGCGGTTTCAGCGCCATGGTTGTTCGCATTTTAGATGAATATGGTACAGTGTTCCTCATTTGTACCTCAAATAATCTGAAAGCCTAACTCGTATATATTGCACAGAATGGCTAGTTATTGGATTGCGAAATTTGACAGTTATTTTTATGCAAATCAGCAGTACTATGCATGTGTTTGAAATTTTTTATATGGCCTTTAATCGTCAACTGATATATGAAAAAAGCTGTTAGGCATTATCCAGACACCCTATTATTTCTTTAGTGCTCTTCATGCACACCTTGTAGCAGCAGGTATTTAATACAGATTGTGGCTTGATGTAAGATTTATGAAGTCGAACAGTTTGGAAGCACCCCAACTTGTTTGGTTTGAGCTTCATGAATTGTCGATATTGAGTTTTTATTTTTATTTTTATATGAAGTATTGTATACCTAGTCTGCTTCGAGAATCAAATAGCGTGGTTTCTTTGCGAGACATCGAATCTCTAGTTTATCAAGAGGGATTATGATTAAGTTGTTCATGGTTAATTGCAGGTGTTGGGTACAAATCGAGAAACGTTCTAGCTGACCCAGAGCTTAGGACGGCCATCAAAGACTACAGGTACCTCATCTTTTATTTTGTGGTCAATCTGTCAAAATTTGGGTATTAGCACTTATAGTGCACTTGAACTGTTGCTTGATGCCAGCTGTTTGATACATTTTGGCTGCAAACTCTTTTCTCATGGAAGATAGGTTAGAGGATTATGCACAAGGCTAAATGACAGCTAATTAGTTTGTTCCATAGTCAGAATGGAAGTTGTTTTTGGGGGTATGTTTATTTATTTATTTATTGGATAATGGGATTTCGGAGCATATTATGTTGGTCACACAACATCTGTTGATATGTGAGGTCCATCTCAAATGTATGTAGTATTCTTAGTAATAATTTCACTGTCTCGTGAATGACCATCAAAGATGAATAAAATGTGTTTGTGGATGCAGTAAATGGCCAACAATCCCGCAAGTGTACGTAAATGGCGAGTTTGTTGGAGGGTCAGACATCCTCATCTCCATGCACCGGGTATGCCTACCCTTCACAGCTCCAATGGTATCACTGTTATTATGGGTACTGGAGATGTGGATCAAATTTAGAACTCAAATATCTATTCTGACGGACTAATGGGGTTGTTTATGCATGTTGGAACAGTCAGGGGAGCTCAAGACATTGTTTAAAGATGTGAAGAAGGAGGAGTTTTGATTCTTCTCTAGGTTGTGTTTTACTGGTGTGTGGTCATGCGGTGACTTTAGACAGTAGCGGCACTTTGAAGAAACGCTGGGCTTTTGATCACGTTTGTGGTGTATGTTGCTGAGGTGTTCACATCACACCTTGAACGGTAGTTTCTGCGGCATTATCAGAGAAAGCTATAAGCTTAACCATTGGCATGCTTCGTCACCGACTCACTTCCACGGAATTATTCTGTTCTGTTGAAAAGTTCTGCTGTAAGTTAGGATTCGTTGGAGGAATATTACGTTAAAAATAAGTTCTAGGTGCATCACTAAGTCTTGTAGTATGCGGAGTTCATCTCCTGGCTACCGATGACAGAGTCAGCTTGCAAAGTACTCACGACTGCTAGTGAGCATGTGGACATGTCTTTTAGCTTCTACCATTGGAAAGAGCTAATTGAATCTACTCTCTCATTTGCTTTGGTTTGTGCATTTCCTTGATTACTTTTTTTTTTTTTTTTTTTTTTTTTTTTTTTTTTTTTTCCCTTCATTTTTGTTTACATTTTGATGATCCTAATAACCAAATTTCAGTTCGTGGAACCATTCGATGACTTCCTTTTTCAAACCCCTCTAGTTTTCTTGATAACAGGAAACTTTTCGCATCTGCTAATGGGATCCTGTGTTAACTGTCTGTCAATCGATATCCACTTGTTGCCAAAGTGAACTAAATGGATATGGGCCTCCATTTCAAAATAAGATCGATGTTCAATGTATCCATGAAATGATCATCGACTTTCGTGTTTTTACAATATTACGTGCAGACGTTTGGACGGCAGTTGGTCGTCTCAAACTAACTATTGCTCAAACCTGTTTATTTGATCACCTTCAAATCGTCGCACTAATTTAATTTTCAGATTAGTGTGTTTTGAACACCTTGATCTTTATGCATAAAATGAATTCCCGTTATCAGCCATGTCCAAACTCCATTACAGTAAAACTATTTGATGAATGGGAACATGATTCATCAACCCTGAATCAACAAATACAGCGAATAAAGCGGATACATTTTCTCTAATTTTCCAACTTGACTTCGTCATTAGTAGCCCGAATCGTCTATCCACTGATTTTTATTTATTTTATTTTAATATATTTTATTATATTTTTCTTCTCACAAGAAGTGAAGTTGTAGATTCTACATTGTGAATGCTAACAAACAAGGAATATAAGTACAAAAACAATTCAAACCCAATGGAGATTTTCTTGCATAATCCATTCCAACCAGTAAGCATGTTGAAAGATGAAGAGTATCAAATGCTGTTGAAGCAACACAAACAGGGGACCAATGACAATGTTTTATAGTGAATAATCGTAGCTGAAAAAAAGCATAAAGAGATATACACTTTGCCAATGTAGTCAATGACTAGATATCAAACAAAATACAATGGGTACATTTCCTATCAGCACTGCGAATAAGGTTGAAGAATTGGCCTAGTGGGTACCAGCTTTATTGGACATCCAAACCAGGCACCGGAAGCTCATCGATCTGCTAGCAGGTTCGCTTCGAATTTCTAATGAGCTTCGATGACGCCGTTGTAATAATCTCGATCACACTGGAAAGAATTTGTTGACGAAAAATAAAAAATAAATAAAATAAAATAAAATAAAATGAGGACTGGATAGTGGGTTTCCTATTGATGAAAACACAAAGCCTGGTAGAGGTTTGTGATACAAGTTGCAGCCGCCTCGGTGCTGTGAGCTACTTCCACTTTGTTGCAGACCTTGACTCGGCTCCGAAGGACTTGCGTCTGTGTATTCGGTGAGCAACAGACCCAACTGGGCTCAGGGGCTCATCAGATTTTTCTTTGAGTAAGTCCACTTGAAGACTAGACCGCACCTGAAATCCAAGTCGTTTTCGTGTCACAGTGAGTGGTCTGACAATTCAGTTCATGGTCTATAACCATGTTGGAATTTGTACTCTAGAAACAAAGTTTAGATCTGAGTAGATGGAAGCGATGCGAAACCTGAGCGATGGATTTCGATCTGGCTGCAGGCTTTCGGGTTGGAGACATAAGGCTCGCGAGTGAGGGGCTTCCAAAAGAGAGGCGCTTCTGCAGTTTTGCTGGTGTCTCATCGCCCTCCACTCCCCTGGTCTTGGGACTAGTGCGAGCTTTAGCTTTCGCAGAAAACGTAGCCGCCATGTACCGGTTCCTCGTTGGCTTCTCACTTGCAGGCATGCAGTTTTCCCCGTTGGTTGGGTTGGTCGCATCCACGTCGGTCTTCATGTTCTCTGCACATTGCAACATCACTCTCAATCCACTGACGCGTTCTGTGGCTATTGTAAGATTGGTGGGAGCGCGTCTAACGTGTATTGCAACTGTGTGATATGATACTTCACACAGGTCAACTTAGTTTCATTCGATTGCAAAGATAGTTTAGTTGTGCTAATACCTGAGATGGGCGAATGCTGAGAGTTGGCTTTAGTTGACGGATTGTTATTGTTTCCGTGTTGAGATCCACAAGAGCTGCTGCAGCTGGGGCCAGGTTCCACCGCGCCATCGTTCCATGCAGCCAAGGGAGCCCCATTTAAATCTTGATGGGCTGATGGAGGTTGGGTATTGAAAGCAGAGTCGCCTGTTGAAGGAATCTCGGCATTGCTGTCATGGCCTGCAGGTCCCGGAATCTCTAAAGTAGACAATGGCATCGAGCGGTTTGGCTCTTGCCTTAACTTATCGGGCGATGTCAACTTCGCTGGAGCAGCGGGCTTCAGTAATACAGGCTTGTCAGCTGAGGGAGGTGGAGACGGAGGAAGTAACGGAACGTTTCCACTCACTCCATTTGTGCTTCTACCTTTCTTAGGCTTATTCTCTGACTTTGCCACCCGTGAGGTCGCTTGGAGTGCAGGCCTAGTAGTCTTCAAGCTCTCGGCATCCATTTTGATATTCTTTGTTTTAGCCTCCAATTGTTTTAAAGATTGAACACTCAGATGGCTCTCCTTTGCACGGTTTGTGTGATGATTTTCCCATGGGCGGGCAGCCATCCATCGGTCCATCCAGCTCCAACCCCAATGCGATTGATCAGGTTCGCTGTCTATGAACAGAATGTTGCGCTTTGGAGTACTTTGTTTAAGCTGGAAAAGTGAGGACAGTCCCCATACAAGTCAGAATACGCCTATGGGTTCTCAGAAACAAAATTGTTGCAAAATTGTAATAAACCCATCAGAGCGTTCACAATGAAGCGTTCCAGCTGTACCCATTGAGGGTCGCAACTCAAAACTTTCTACTGGGCAGTAATACACCTGCTGTGAGAATGCATATGCCATCGCCCTCTCTCGCTTCTTGGCTGCCTCTTCCCGGATTTGCATTTTCTCCTTCGTGTCTTGACCTGTGGTCCAGGTGCCCTCCTGAGCAGAGGAGCAAACAACAGCATCCAGAAACATAAACAAGTGCAATGTGTGTACGTAGTATCGACCACTAGTATCCTGATTTGAAACCCGTCTTTAAACCTGGTTTCGACGAACTCTCGCAAGAATTTCAGGAAAGAGTAGCCGAGAAATTGACTCGATTGTTCAAGATACTGAAACGAAAAGTTAGTGGTTGGCAGTCCAGCGTACTGAGCTTTTGAGTCGAGCAAGTCCTTGACGCCGTTGAAGAATATGTTGCTGCACGGTTTGCCCTTCCTCTGACATCCTCACTCGACGAGCACGAATACGTGCTTGCACACGAACAAGAGCTTCCATTGCCCTCAATGTTGTTGCAGCTTGCCTTCGTACTGTGTGCCCTCGCACCAAGGCCTGGAGCCGAACGAGTCCTCTCAACGCCTTCAAAGCACTCAGTGGACGGAAATCAGGAGGCCTATTCTTCCTGGTGCACACTTCTATGACTCGCTATATCAGACAAATGGAATGGAAGATGCGGGAATACAGATCTGAATTCCAGGTTGATCCCAAAAAAATCGAATGATAAAAGGTTAGTTCACTTGGGACCAATCTAGATGTCAGAGCAACTACAATTGAGAGTGAGACCGACACAACCAAAAAAGAACATTAACATCTCACTTTTGTTATTCTGGGACATGAAGTATATAGAAAAGTGTGACGCGTGCATATGTTATATTTTGTATAAAACTACAGCGACGCAATGCACTTCAGTAGGACATAATAAGTTAGCCAGTCTGCGTGATGACATCCTCAAACGTGAAAAATCTTACCAAATATTTACGAAAAGCTCGCTGAATTTTAATAGCTGCCTGGTCCTTACGAAAGATTTCATCCTCCAAGCTAACTTCGATAGTTGATAAAGATTTCTGCCTCGCATGGTCTAAGTCTTCGTCGTTCTTTAGTTCACTGACCTCATCTTCCACAGACAGTCCGTTGTTGCGTTCTTGCTGAATTTGCTCATGCATCAACCCTGCAACAGATGGTAGTGGGAGAGGAGCCGCCTTCGAATAATGTAAGGTTTTTCCTTGATTGACCTTGTTGGAGATTAATTGCTGTTCAAAGACATCACATCACCCCATCCTAATCATCATCTACATCTTTGCTATAAATCAGTACTAAAAGAAATGACCGAAATTATCCAGATTGATGTGCACCTCGTATACTTGATTTGGACATGGCTAAAAACGATGTATTTCAAGTTGAAGGTAAGCAATGAATTCAAAGCCCAAGACAGTTACCACGCAATTGCTCCTGCGAAAAACTTACTGTCTCATCTTTATCATCGATACCCTCCTTCAGTGGAGGCCTGAAAGCCTTCTTGACTGCTTTTAGCCACTTGCTTGGATTGGCCTTGCCCATGGTTTTTGTGCTTGCTGCCAAACACTGCCTTCTGCGGAAGCACCTACAGACACGACACATTTTTTCATAAAAAAAGTAAATTACGAATTTATACAAGTCTGATGTGAAAGCGTTCATCAAGATTACATGCAAGGAAATGAACCTTGAAAGTGTGGCCAAACAACGACGTTCGTAATACAGTAATTAATACCCTCACTACTTTGCAATGACTGCAAGCTCTCGAGCTGTATGTCTCGTCGCAAGTCTTCATTCATTGACCAAGCTGGTGATCATACTACACAGCTAATCCCTCTCTGTTCCGGCATCCTCCGATATGCCCCAAACCACGAAGATGTTATCTTGCTGGTCATAGTCATTAAGAATACCGGTTTCTGCTTCTTGACCATATTCCTTCGGAGTGCTAAAAGTCTTTCTACTTCTCAATTGCCAGCATTTTAGCGCACTTAAACTATTCGCTAGGCAGGATCTAACACACGATACGCACGCCTCTATATCGTTCCGGCATAATAAAAAGGGAATGCTTCTGTATTAAATGAGTGTTCTGCCGTACTGCTACGGCGGACTCTATGGTTCAGCACACGCAGTTTTCGTTCCGACAGTATCACCCCGGATTTCCTTCGAAACTCAAATATCCATTGCATTTGTCACATTCTGAAGGTATTTTTTAAAACTTCCAGAGAAGATCATGCCCATCGACAATCTGTAGCAACATCAACCACCGACATAACGTAGCAGAATGCAAATTAAGATACAATACTCGGTTTTTTCAGGCAGCACCGTAGATACAAGTCAATGGCGACCAGAAGATCTTTTAATCCCCGTCCTAGAGATTGCTTGGAAGTCATACCACTGCTGCTATAACTAGGATGACAGAGACCAATTCAGTAGGATGCGATGCGAGAAATTTTTGTTCTATTCATTAGTCCTTCAACAAGAGCGTTGTAACGTTTCTTTCTTTTTCCCCTCGCGACCATCGATAAGGAGTTGCTCATTCCTCTTGCACACACCGAGCTAGCTGCCTCAACTCGAAACGGTGGAGGCAGCTAGCTGAAGCATAAAACGAGAGAATAATAACTACCTAACATGGATCCTCGAATGGTATGACTCTGCCAGCCGTTCAGCATACAAGGAATTAAAAATTCATTTAAGAAGGGGACACATCACCATCTGCGATGGCTAGATCCCATGCATGGACAGGTCACTCGCAAAAATCACTCCATTCACTCTGCCGAGAACAAATCGTCAAGTCTAAAGTAGAGAAACTGTACTCTTGTGATGAAGCTCTCCTCTTACCACCTCAAAACCCATTGCAACAACCGCACTAGCCCAAATCCAAAGCCCAACCAACCACTGGCCCCAGCTCCATCCCCTACCACATGAGATCTCCTCTGCCCCAACTCCCAGGACTCAAATGACACTCTCATCACATCCTCCTTCCTCTTGCACACACCGAGCACTCACTCAATCACTCACTCCCTCACAATCCTCACAACCATGGCAAGCATGCACTTCTCCTGCTGCCGTGGCGCCTTTCACTCAACTTGCCAGCATTGGCCACACCTACAACTTCCACTCAGTCACTGCAACGATCAAGCTTCCACACTACCACTACCACGCCTTCTCCAGCGCTAAGTAACCAAACCCACAACAGCATCACATCAACAACGACAACTGCCCACCATAGCCCGCAACGCACAGGATCCAGGCACACGCGACACCACAGAGCAGACGTAGAGTATCCCACACAGGCAGCAGCAGTCTCAGAGGAATTGCAGAAGCGATGGGACGCGGCCCACGGCTTTACAGACCCAGGAAAACTGGCTGCAGGAGTATCGGCGGACCTGTGGCGAGGCCAGAGCCCAGGCGGCACTGACAGTACAGCGCAGCGCAGAGTTTCTGCAGCAGCAGCGGAGGAGTAGTGAGAGCGGGGAAACCACGTCGAGGAAGCACCAAATCCTGTGCTGAAGCGTTCCCTACAGAGCCCCGGATTCGGCCTGTCAATGCTCCACCGTCTGAGTCACCGCCAACGCTCTTATTGAACACTAGATCGTAGTGTAGTTGGATCCTGCACAAGCACACAAACACTCACTAGCTCGCTCTCTCGCTCGTCTCCGAGGTCTCGAAATACATGTCCTTGCACAGAAAAGCTGCAGCTCGTGAGTGGGCTGTAAGTTACAGCTGCCCGGTGGCTTGCTACCGACAACCCTATCCACGTACCTTCTACCCTGTTTACATACCGACCATCCCCTTCACGTACCGACCATCTGCGTCACTCATCCCCAGCTGGCCTGACCAGGTACCGGGCGATAGATCGACTGACCACTTCATGTTTTGGTTTTGTAAATGTTGGTGGATGTTTTGTAGTAAAATTAAAAGACGAATCAGTGATTATATTTGTGTATATATTCACACACACACACAATATAAATAAATAAATGAATAAATGAAACAGTGTATTGTTGTAATTCATGTTAATATAAACGAATAAGTATTGAACGAAATATTATTCAGAATTTAACAGTGGATTAAGATGATTTTAAGCAATTTTTGCGGGATTCTAGTTGATGCTAATTTTTGGAATATATCCTCTTGAATTTGATAATGATCTAGCCAAGTGGAACACAATGCCTAATCAATCAATCAATCAATCAATCCATATATATGTATGAATATATATATTCTGGATTCTAACTTCATAATATCTCCAATTCTTGGGATATTACTAAGCTAAATTTAGTCCTATCTGATGAGAGATAAAAAATACTATAGATTATTTTATTGTATCAAAAATCTTAAGAGGGTATGAGATTATATATATAGACCTCAATGGCTTATATGCTAAAGAAATTTGTTTAGTGCATACTTTTGATTTTGTCTCATATGTTCAACAGTAATTCCAGAGGGTTATGAAAAATATAGAATGGAAACTAGTATAACCAGAACAGCTGAAACGCCCCAAAAATTAATTTAAGATAACATGAAATTCACGTGAAAAATAATTTCAACAAGGATGAAAAAAGTACTTAAATTATCTCCAATTTTTTTGTTATAATAACTTGTTGTCTGAATATTAAAACTAATTATCGAAATTTTACTATTTTCTTTCTGTGCATGGCTACAAACTCAATATTATTGAAGGCAAATGTATATCATATAATGTCAAAACATGTGTTAAATTGTGTTATAAAGTTGGTGATAAAACTAGGGAATTGATGTCAAAACCAAAATACCAATGGTGATAAACAGACTCAACTTTTGTAAAATCACTTAAAACATTTAGAAGTGTGCATTTAAAATATTCGTATCAGTTTTTTTTTGGTTTGATAAAATCTCTTACTCCTTGTATACATGAAGTATACTGAATTTTATATTTTATTTATATTTATTATAAGTTAAATTAGTGATTTAAGCTCTAATTTTCAAAAATAAAACACTCATAAGATTATTTATTTATTTATTTATTTTTAATACTAAACAAGTGAGTCATTTGTAATCAAATTTATTTGTATCATGTTATTGTATGTCAATCCAACAAAAAAGTCAAAAAGGAAACATGTTTTGTTTTCTCAAGCAATCTACTTTCAACTGCCTGTGAGTTAAGCAAATGGAAGTGCAATTGTTTGATACCAAATCCACTGCCAAACTTGGCTCTTTATAACATACAAACTCACATATCTATATATATTTACATATTAAGAATGCTCAATGTAGACAAGTAGTAGTTCTTGATGGTTGTATAGATGGGTCTTCATTTTCATAAAAAAAAAATCATCTTTTCTAGAGTTCACAGCTCGTTTTATAGAATTCATAGGCTATTTTACAAGTCGTTTTATAGAGCTTTGTATTATAGAGTGAGTGCCTTCATGCACTCATTCACTCTTTTTTTTTCTTTTTTTTTTTTTTTTTTATCAAAAAAGTTTATGTTTTGTGGAGACAGAATTTATACATTGGAAATACTTAAGGGAGACAAGTAGTGGTTCTCAATGGTTGTATAGATCAATCTTTATTTTCATCAAAAAAGTTAATCTTCTTTGAAGTTTATAAGACATTCCATAGGACATTTTACAAATGATCAGGGCATTCTTTAAGGTATTTTACAATTGATTAAGGCATCTTATAAGGCATTTTACATTGTTGGTGATAGCATCAGAGCAGCAAGAAGGAGATTAAGCAAGACAATAGTAAGATGACATTAATAATTTTGATGTAAGTGAGTCGATTTTGATTAGATTCATGACGCATTTTTATAGTTCCAATTGTATTTGAAGCCACAAAGGATTTTGATTTTTATTGGATTCAGAAAACTCACCCATGAATATTGTTTGCAAAGGATTTTGATTGGGTTGTTTTAGATATGGACACTTGACCTCCTTAATTGTATGTTGGCATCTGCTATATAGTGTATTTAGTTATCATTTTAATGATCAACATAATATTAAACTTTTGCTTCATGATCTTGATTTCTGGATGTATATATAGTTTTGTTGATCTTCTACAATATTCAATATTACTTCTCCATTGTTGGTTTGCTCTTTTTGATTCCCTTCATGGGTGAAGTTTCTACTACAAAATCAAACTCTATTCTTTCGTAATCTTCACAAGTCTATTCAATGGGATTTGTTTGTGCATGAGCTGCATGTTGTGACACTACAATGAAGTTTCAAGTGTTTATGTGATTTGTGGAAAATTTCACCTCTAAAGATTAAAGAAAAATAATACATAATTAAGCAAGCAATTAGCTAGTGTATTAATGCAATTGATTTTGTCATTCCTGTAAAATTGATCACAAGCAACATTAAGCAGAGCATGTTAGAGTGTTATAAAGAGATTCTATTGTAACTCAATCAAGTGAGTGTGGTTGGTGGCACAAACTCTTTTTCTCTCTTTCTGCCAAAAGTTTTTCATTTTTCATATGTTATGTACTACAAGTAATAGAAGAGCATCTCGCAGCTCCTTTCATCTAATAACTAACAATGCAGATGTCCATTTCAAAAAATGCAAGACTCTTTTCTGTGATTGAAATTTACAATTGAAGATTTATGATGGAGTGAATGTGATAGCAGATGTAGAAGGATTTAGAGAATAATACTGAGAACTCTTGTATTTTTTTATTTTTTTATTTTTTTATTTTTTTTCACTAGCATCTAGGAGAAACAAGATTGTAGATGAATAGAAAGCTAGAAATTGAACCTATGAATCTAACTTTTGTGGTATTGTTGTATGCTGCATTTACTTCAGTAAGTTGTTATATTTTTGCAAAATAAATTCATATATAAATTATTCCATAATTTACTATAAATTAATGACAATCACAAAATCAAGTTTGTAATTATTTTTTTAGCATAATAAATATAAAGGCATATAAGAATTATTGATTATGTGAATGTATTTTTGAACCATGTTGAATTTAATTTAATTTAATTAAATTTTTTCATTATATTTCCAATATGAGATTAGCTCAATTATTATTATATGCTATAATTTTTAAATTTTTCTTTACAGATGTGTTATAGAAATATATATATATATATATATATATATAGTTTGAATAAGTTTTATGAAATAAATTGATATTGATTTTTAAAATTTTTAACTTCAAGATAAATTATTTTAATTACAATAGGAGATTGACTTAAAATTTAAGGAAAAAATCAAATAAATGTTTTCAACTGTATTCTATAGTAATATCAAAGGGTGTAATTTTATAAATAAAATCAAAACCAATAGACATTTTTATAAAGTAATATATATATATATATATATATATATATATGATAATTTTTTCAATTTCCAGCCACAAATTATATATAATTTAAATTAATTTAATTCATATTTTAAATTATTATAAAATAACTATTATAAATTTGCTTATTATAATATTAAAATAATTTATATTGTATTCTTTGATTGATTTATTTGTTTTTTGTCCATTTATGAAGCTTGCATTTGCTACACCATGACTTCAATTCTCATTCATCTAAATATTTTAAATACAATTTATCTATTTTCACTTATTGTCTCTACTTACAATAATAATAATATCCAATATAAGATTATGTCAAAAGTTGAATATGAATTTATTAATTAATATTTTTTTAGATCATTAATAATAATATATTATTTATTGACACTATGTAAATAAATAAATAAAAAAATTGAATTTTTTTACATGTGCAATTAATTATATACTAAGCCCATGACTTGATTTGTAAAAGATAAACTATCCTTTATAATATTTCTTCAATCTATCATTTTTTTTTTTTCTAGATTTTATTGTTATATTAATATAGAATTAGTTTTAAAGAATATGAATACAAAATTTCCTACTAATGTGCAAGGAGAAATGCTTAAGAAGTTAAGATCTTAATATCAACAAATTAAACTTTTTGGAAATTTGTGCCAAAAATCCATGACAATGGCATGGATTCAACTAGTCTATATATTAAGAATATTCAATATGGACAAGTAGTGGTTCTCAATAGTTGCATGGATAGATCTTTGTTTTCATGAAAAAAGTTTACCTTCTTAAGAGTCTAAAAGTCTTTTTATTAAGCTTTACATTATAAAGTGAGTGCCTTCATGTATTTATATGGCTTTTATTTTTATTAAAAAAAATTATATTATGTAGAAACAAAATAAGGCTCTCATTCATTATATTCACTCTTCTTTATTTTCATTAAAAAATATAATGTTGTTAATAGTTCACTTGACATTTTATCATTTATCATAGAAAATTTACAAGGAGTTTTATGTTGTCCTTGATTTTTGGTGATAGCATTAGAGCGGTGTTGGAGAAAAGAGAGTTTGCCTTGAGAAAGCGCTGGACTTTTGGCTGACACTAAATTCTCAATTAATCATAAGATGAAAAATACTCCAAGATTATTTATAATTTTTTTTTTATTCCTTTCCATGATATTAAACATAGTAGCAATAAACATCAAATGCCAAGCTTTTAGTAATAGTAAAAGATATAGCAGTAAATAAAAATTATCAGATCTCTAGTAATAGTAAAAGTTATAGCAGTAAATAATAATTATCAAACCTCTAGTAATAATAAAAGTTGTAGCAGTAAATAATAATTATCGGACCTCCACTAATAGTAAAATTTGTAGCAATAAATAATAATTACCAAACCTCCAGTAATAATAAAATCATTTAGTAATTTCCAAATCTTTCGTAATTTCCAAAACCCTTTTTGTAGTAGTAAAATCCTTGTAATACCAAAAATCCTTCAATACCAAATCCCTTTGATGGATTGAACTTTAAAATTTGATAATTCTCAATCCAATTATTACATTGAGCTCAAATTATTTGAGAAGTAAGGCAGT